GTCCCCGGCGGCGGGACCCGGCGCCCAGCCCGGGGGACCCGGTGCTGCGGCCCGGGGACGAGGCGGAGGCGGCCGCGCGCGCCCCGGCCGGTCCCGGGGGCGGTGCCTCGCGGGCCGGCCCCTCCCCTTTCCGCTGGCCCAGTAGTCGCCCTTTGGCCCGGCTCGCTCATCACCGCGGCCCAATGACGACGAGGCCCGACCCTTCCCGCCCAGGCCCCGGAGAGACGACGACGGGGAGCTCGAGGCGGCTTCACTGCTGTCGCCTCCGCCGCAGCTGCAGCCTCAGCTCCCGGGTTACACGGAGACACCTGCTCACCGCAGCTTCCCCCAGCGGCCGGCCCGCCAGGACGGCACCTAAAAACAGTCGGCACCCGCCTCTGCACTTGGCTGGCGAGATACTTTGTATCAGAAGGCGCGGGACCCGGGGCCATCGAGGTCGTGGGGACCCAGGATCCAGGGAGCATGGGGACCGGAGTCCCCGCCTCGGAGCAGACCAGCTGTGCCAAAGGGGACCCACAGGTTTACTGCGCTAAAGACACTGGAGACTCTGAGGCTGTGCAGGTCACTGACGGCGAGAGCCCTGAGGACAGCCGATCCCGAGATGAGCGGGGCTGCAGCAATCAGGAGGACCCTGGGCAGCTGATGGCCTCCTACGAGGGCAGAGCCAAGGGCTACCAGGTGCCTCCCTTTGGCTGGCGCATCTGCTTGGCTCATGAGTTTGCCGAGAAGAGGAAACCCTTTAATGCCAATGACATCTCCCTCAGCAACCTGATAAAGCACCTGGGCATGGGCTTGAGGTGAGTAGATCCCACCGCCTAGAGTCCCGAGGCTTCACTTGGTTCCAGCCCGAGACTTCCAGCAGAAGTGGGAAGGGGTGAGAAAGCGGGGATGTGCCTTGACCCAATCAAGTGGCTTTTATCCCCAACAGACTCTAAGCCTTGATTTTGAAGAGTAAGACCAGGTCACATCTTGTTGCAACCCTTTAATCCCAGTAACTTGCCTTTTTAGTAGGAAAGAGCAGAAACATCTAGGCCTGCAGCCAGCCTTTCCCAGTAAGCTCCCTCTCACATGCTCCCTCTTTTCCAAAGACTGGTCTTTGGAGTTAGCTCTGTGGTGTAGGATAGGAAAGGATAGTGTGGCTGCTGAGGTACTGACACAATGTTGTTTTATTGGGGCGGGGGTGCGTCTCAGAATCCCCTGAGCAGCTGGAGTATTCTCAGTACCTCACTGAGGCACACCACATTGCAGTCCAGCACCCATCACGCTGTAGTTCCAAGGCTGCCGGCTCTCTCATCCTGAGAGGGTGATGAGGGGTGCTGCTCACTCTACTCTGAGGTAGACGCCCTCTGGTCAGAGGCACTGCCATAGGTGTCCCCAGAGCTGTTAGGAATAGCCTTCCAGAGCCTGCCCGGGTGTCTCCCTTGCCCCCGCACTCCCTACCCAAGGATTGCAGACACCCGAAGAGCTTACTCTGGCTGTAGAACTCCTCTAGGTCCCGCCATACCCCCACTGAATTAAAAAACTAGAGACGGGAGACCAAGACCCATTAACAGGAACAGGTGGATGTGAGGACAAAAAGCATCACCCTGAGGTCATCCTGAGTCATTCTACACAGTAAACACAGAGCCACGGAGGGAGGCTTGAAGGCTGTGAAACCCAGCGCTGACAGCCAAAGGGTGCTTCCCTACCCTGGCTGGTTGTGCTCAGTGGTTAGAGGGACGTCCCGTTCACCAAAAGGTCCAGGGTTGAATTCCCAGTCAGGGCCCGTGCATGAGGCAACCGATGGATGTTTCTCTCACATGGATGTGTTTTTTTCCCTCTCCCTCTCTCTCCCTCCTTCCCTCCATCCCTCCCCCATCCCATCTTTCTCTAGACTCAATGAAAAAATATATCCTCGAGTGAGGATTTTTAAAAATAAATAAATGGATCCTTTCCTTTCCCATTCAGTGCTCTGGGGCTGGGGCGGGGGAGTCCGTTTACCTAACCCCAGACCTGGGTAGTGGGAAGGGCCTGGTGCCGCCTAGGAATGCCTCTCCTTTGCTAGTAACTGTGGGTGGCCAGTACCAGAGAACAGTCATCCCTAGCCCAACCTTTGGGTCAAAATAGAATGTAGAGCTAAGGTGCTAAGAGAAGCACTTTGGGGTGCATGTGGTGGGGACATTGAGGTCAAGAACAGATGGTGGCTCAGTTGCTTGGAGCATTATCCTATACAACAGGGGTCCTCAAACTTTTTAAACAGGGGGCCAGTTCACTGTCCCTCAGTCCATTGGAGGGCCGGACTATAGTTTAAAAAAAAACTATGAACAAATTCCTATGCACACTGCACATATCTTATTTTGAAGTAAAAATACAAAACGGGAACAAGTACAAAATTTGTATTTGCATGTGGCCCACGGGCCGTAGTTTGAGGACCCCTGCTATACACCAAAAGGTTGCAGGTTCAATTCCCGGTCAGGGCACATACTTAGTTGGGGTGCATACGGGAGGCAACCAATCAACGTTTCTCTCTCACATTGATGTTTCTCCCACTCTCTCTCTTCCTCTCTCTTTAAAGATGTTTCTCATGGATGTTTCTATCTCTTTATCTCTCCTTTCCCCTTTCTTTAAAATCAATAAAAACATATCCTCAGGCAAGGATTAAAAAAAAGAGCAGGTGGGTATCCTACCCCTCTGTCCCTGTGTATGAGCTGAATCAGAGGCCTGAAGCTATGCTCAGGCCCCTGGACCTTGGCTTCCCATATCAGCATAGAGTGCAGGCCACTGACACAGGGCTTTTGGAGTGGGATGAGGTCCTGCTCTGGGGAGAAACAGGGGTGAGACGGAAGAATTCTGAATGATAATTCTTAAGTTGGGGCTGAAATTATGGAAAGGCCAAATAGGTCAAGAATGGTCAGCTGCTAAATTCGGGGAATGGGAGAAACCTAAGAGAAAGCTGAACTGAGGGTCCTCGAATCAGGAGCTCCAAAAAGACAGAGTTCTCTTGGCCTCAGTGTGGTAAGAACTCAATTTTGATTGCTCTCCCAGACAGAGTCCATTCATTCAATAAATATTTAAGTGCCAGTTCTATACCAGATACTCCTTTGTTCTGCCTCTCCTCATTGCCCTAATGCCCACCGCACTCTCTTTCCCTTCACCAGTCCTTTCTGGCCTCTAGTTTCAGAGTCCAGTTTCCTCTAAGTTGGCAGGAAGGATCGTCTGCCTTCCCATCATCTCATCTTTGTCTTCCCTCCCTTCCCCTCTACCCCCAGAATGTAACTTCCCTATTCGTTATGCACATTTCTCCTCCCCTTGCTCCTGTCTATGTTCATCTCTCTTATGCCCCACTGTTTGTACAATCATGTAAATTCAGCAAATATTGACTGCAGACCATGTGCCCTGCCCTGTGCTTGAAGCAATGGGTAATAATCATCTAGTCGTTGTCACTGTCCCTTTCCCCAAGGAACTTAAAAGTATGTCAGACTCACGTGAGGAACACTGAAATAACAAGACAGCATCTGATTGGGAATTGAGATAGTGTATGTACAAGTAATGATCATACCTGACACAGGTATGCCACTTTATGGCCTTCCTACCTATTATGTCATTTGCTCATTCCATGAGGTGGGTAGTTTGGTAGGGCAGGAGGTATCCTCATTTTGTAGATGAGGAAACTGGGGCTCAGAAGGGTTACTTACACAAGTACATGGATGTAAGTGTTGTGCTTGAATAGTGAATATAAAATGGCTGGGTAGGGAGTAGAACTGGGAGAGGGCAGGGTTGCAAGAAAGTAAGATTAGAAGATGGTCTAGGACAGATGTCATTGAATCCCAAACAGAATCATTTGCCTGTGGGACACAGAGCTGTGACAAGCCCAGGGAAATGTTGTTGTTTTTTAAGACTTTACTGGGATATTACAAGAGAGCAAAATCACAAAACTTACAGCTTAGAAATCATAACTGGCCCTTTCAACACCTCGGACAAAAGCTGCTGGGGTGAGTAAAGCAGTGGCAATGGAGTTAGAGATGAGGAAAGATCAGAAAGCTCCTGAGGAGAACAGAGAAAAGAAACAAAGACAGTCCCACACTGTAAGCTGGGGACTGGGAAGATGAGGGGACCTTGATCTGTAGAGAAGTTGAGAGGAGGAGGTTCGGAAGCAAAGGTGGGATCCCTGGAACATGTGATGGGAAATCACAGCTGGGTGTCCAGAAAGAGGTAGGCGACTGCAGCCAGGAAGGCACTTGCCCACAACCCCTTCCATCACACTGCCTCCTGCTCCTCAGGTACTTGCAGTGGTGGTACCAGAAGACTCAGGTG